GCTGTCAGGATCACTCTGAATTCATTCACCACAACATAACCTTGCACAACTGGGATAAACTCTTTTATAAAACTGTCAGGGGTGTAGTTCATGTAAAATACTTTGTAGATAAACTGTAAGTTAAACTATAATGAGCATAAATAAACTTCTGTATCAATTTTGGCCTTGCAGCATTTTATAAACCTTTTTTAATGATGAGTCTGTCAGTAAATTGAGTTCCAGTCACTCACCTCCCTTAAATAATGTGTGCCAAGGTTTTCTTTCCAGGTTTGCTCTGTCTGCAGCAGGATAAAGCAACAGGAATGAGCCTCACTGCAAGAAGTGCCATCTCCTGAGACACCAGCCTGAAATGCCTGGTCTGTGTCCAGGGAAAAGCAGGTTTATTTTGAATAGAAATAAGTTATTTAGTTAGCTCATGACACAGAAATAAGGGTTCTGTGCAGAATTTCCATTCTTCCTGCTGGAAAAGCCATAATCCAAAGGCCAACATCTAAATGTTCTGCTGTAGAAAACAAAGATCAAACTGTTTTTGTTGGGAAATTACAGCATGTTTGTGGGAAATGGGAGCTGTTAAATACCTTCAGTTCCCTGCAGTCACTGCAATAGAGGAGCCCAAAGTTCCAGTTGTCTTGAAGAACCAACATTTCCCTGCAGCAGCAGCACCTGTGTCACATGGAATTACATTACTGAAAGCCTCTGGACATGGAGCAAAGTGCACACACAGGTAGTGTCAGATGTGAGCCACAAATAAAGGAAAGCCTCTCTTCCCTGGCTCTAGATTTAATGAGATTATTCATTTAAGACTCAAACTTTCTACAGTGAAATTATGAGGCAATTGTAACACTTTCAGAATCTGTCAAGCCACTTTATTCCTTTAACTTAAATTGAGAATGTTAAATTGAGAAAATGAAATGTAAACTGGATTCTGAAGCAAACACAGCCTGGCCTCAGAGCCCTCAATCCCTTTGCTCAAGTATCCCTTGGAAGCTGGACACCAAACCACAGCACCAGGCATTTCCCAGCCAGCCACAACTGCTGCATCTTCCCCCAACAACACTGCATAAAGCTCAGTTTTTCTATGAAGTGGAGTTTATTACAACATTAAGGAACAGTATTTGGACAGTTATTTTAATGGAATATTTTACAAATCCATTCATACAGAGAAAAGCAAACACAATGTTGGTTAAATTCATTACATTGTTGAGCTGTTAGCAATAGGTGCAGGGCTGTAAACTAGCAATCAAGTATTGGAACTTGCAGTTCAGAATGAGATGGTAAAAATACCAGACAAGCAAAAGCCTTTTTAAGACTTTTTGTACTCAATTCTTTCTACTTTCACATCATCTCCAATTAGCTGATAGACATATGTCACTACTGTAGAAGCCTGGATATCCATCAGCACAAATGAGGGAATGATGTTGCTGGAAAGAGAGGAAAAAATTCATATTAATTGTGTCTATAATCCCTTCAGCAGTGTTTTTACCACTACTCAGCAGAAATCACTTAAAGAAAAATGGATATTAATTCTGAAAGCCCAGAACATCAGATCTGAGGCTGTATTTCACTCTCATCTGTTCAGTCAAGGAGATTTAGGAAGTACAAGTATCAACCCTTCCTCTCCCTGACATTTAAAACACAAACATTAACCCTCACCGTGAGTTCGTAGCTCAGTTTTGTTCCCAAAAAACCCTCCCAGAGTTTTCCCACACTCACTTCTCTAAGGCATGGTAGGCTCCTGTAGCTGATCCAGGGTTGATATAGAATTTGTTTTCATGTTCAAATGCCTCGAATTTGTGTGTGTGCCCTGAAATGAGGATGTCCACATCAAACTGCCTCTGGAGCAGGGCCAAGCTGGCCATGTCACCCCAGGGAATGACCTGGTGGCCGTGGATCAGCCCGATCTTGAACTGTCCCACAGTCACCACCTTCTGCTCGGGGTAATTCAGGTTCTGAAAATAAAAACCAAGCATTAGATGGACACACTCATATCTAAAAATTTATATCTATATTTAAAGATTTATAATTAAGCAGCAACAACAAGGAAAGAGAAGGGGAGAGTTTCTGACCTCATTTCATCACCACTTTTAGTTGGATGAACCCAAACGTTGCCTTTAAAAGACACTAAAAAACCGTAATTCCCAAGGGAGGTCAAAGTACCTCATCAAAGTCCCCTCGGACCACGTGGACATCCCCAGCCAGGGTTTTGAGGTAGTCATAGGTGTCCTTGGTGCAGAGGTTCCCTGTGCACAGGATGTGTTGGATCTTCCCAGGAACCAGCAGCTTTTTGAACTTGGCTGGGAGGCTGTTGCATCTGTGGGGAATGTGGAGATCTCCCAACACCAGCACCAACTTCCAAGGATCATCAGGGGGAGAAAGATCATTACACACACTCATTAAGGCAACAATCATTAGCAAACAGCGGCTCCTGCACTTTCCCAACTTTGTGTTTTGATGGAAAAGCTACTAAAATAAGAATGAGATGGTGATGGAATATTGCTCTGAGGGAAAACAAAGGCCCTCACTAAACCATTACCTTAAAAACAAGGCTACAGAATCATCTTTATTTTGGGCAAGACACAGTAACAGGAATGTGTGAGTACTTCAGGTACTTCACACAAAATTGGGAACTACCACAAACTCTCTCCCTTTTTTTCTCTCTAGTGCAGACCTGGCTAAACTGAGGCCACTTCCCTTAACTCTTCATCCAAGTTTTTTCTACTTTAAAAGATTCCTGTTTACTCTCTTATTAAAAACATTAAAAGTATAAAAAGAATATTAGAAAGCAGCAAATTTTTAATGTGTTAATAGGTGACAGGAAGAGTGTTCAGAGCCCATATTTTAGGAACCACTGAACAGAATAAAGCTGAAAAAATAACCACAAATTACAACCAGGGCACTGCAGAGGAGCCAAGGCAGGTTATTGCACAGAGGGACTCTGTTAACATTTATATAAAATTCTATATATTCACAGCTTCAGTACAACAGATGCAAGAAAAAAAAATGGGATGGGGGGCTTCAAAATTAAGGATTCAGGTGATGCAAAGCCACACAGGCTTTAAATCTGCAAATAATGAATTAATGCAACACACCAACAAATTAATTATGCAAAGATCAGCTCTAGAAAGCAGGGGATGTTATGGCACTGGGAAAATGGGAATGGTTGTCTCCAGATCCAGTGTTAACTTGATAAATGGCTCTACATTAAAAACGTTTGTTAGAGAGGCAGTTCCTAAAATAACAGCCATCAATTTGTAAAGGACACAGCCCAGATATATTTATATATATAAAAATAAATATAGCTAGGCTAAGAAATGGTATTTTTAAATATTTTTAATCTATTTTTAGGCCATGCAGCTACTTTCTTGCTAACAGTCATCACGAAAGGCAGAAGGAACTTGGGTGCCTTTTTTGCTTGGTTTGGGGGGTGGGGTTTTTTTTCAGATTAAGAACATCTCAGTGCCAGCAAAGCCATTTTGGAGACAGATGGGCTGAAGTATTGATAAAGCAACAACAGAGTTTTTTAATCAATGAGTGGCCAATTCAAAACTAAACCAGGAGAGGAAAAATTAAAAAAAGAGAAACATTTCTGATGGTCTTTTGAGAATTCCCAGTGAAAAATCCCCCGAGCAGGGTTCTGGGAAGGGTACTGGGATGCAAGTTAAAAGTGGGTAACTGCGATTTTAATATTATTAATCAAAATTATTTGATTAATAAGTGGCAATAGATAAGATTGTTTTACTGATGCCTGAGGAACTTAGTTGTGCAATACCAGTTATTTGATGATTAATAAAATTATCCTGCCACTTAAAACACACAACCCCAAACTGTCAGGCCCCATATTCTCCCCCAAAAATCACATTGCAGCTCCCATAATTAAAGAAAAGCTACAGTAACCAACCCAAAATGTTTAATCGTCCCAGGGATCTGCAGCATAAAACAGAGGCAGAGGATGTCAAACCCCCTGGGTTTTACCAGGAATTTGGGTGTGGGTTGAGCAGCAGCCCCTAATTCACCTGCCACTGCCACGAAGGAGCCCCTAATACCGGTATTAGCAAAGCCAAGGAGTAACTTACTCTGTGCCCGGCCTGAGTGGGATGGAGGAGTTGATTGCAGACAAGGGGGGTGGAAAATATGATCAATGTTAAACGAGAGGAAGCAACAGAAGAGAAAACACAGCCAAATGAACGCGCAAATAATAATTAATGAATCGTTGATGTTATGAGAAAAGCGTTAAATTAAAATTAAAAAATAAATAAATAAATTAATGCGATTACAGTTAAATTAATTCGGATATAAAGGGGGCTCCTACAAGGACGGCCCGGGACCCCCCACCCGCCCGCTCTGCGCCAGCCCCGAGGGAGGAGGTGATGGTGGGGCCCGGGGGGGTGCCGAGGAGGAATTCCCGGGGGGAATGCCGGGGGTTCCCGGGGTTTGGGATCCCGGTGTCCCCCCCGCTCTCACCATCGCGGCCGCTCCGCTCCGGCCCTCCCGGAACCCGCCCGGCACCGCCCCCGCTACGGCGGCTGCGAGCGGCCAACAGAGCGCCCAACGCGGCCGTGTCGCGTCCCGCACCCACGGAGCTGCATCACACACGCGGAAAGAGCGTTCTCCGCGAAAATCCCTGTTCATTGGCTACAAATTGCATAGTTCTCTTATTGATTATTATACCTTCTATTGCTTAATGATCCTCTCGCTTCTCATGCTAATTAGTGCCGTGCTCAGTCCTCCTGGGTCTGGGGCTTTCTTGGGTCGGTGGTCACAGATCCCCCTGCCAGAATCACCTTTTACCCAGTTGGACCTGGTTTCAGCCCAGTTGCTGAGTTGGGTTTATTAATTTCTTCCTTATCTAGGGGGTTCTGCCCGAGGTCGTTGTGGTCCATAAATCCTGCATTCCTTGTGCCCTATCTCAAGTGGTACAAAGTGGTTCATCCTTCTCCCCTCGCTTTGTTAACCTTGGACAACGCTCTCAGGGACAGGGTGGGATTGTTGGGGTGTCCTGAGCAGGGCCAGGGGTTGGACTGATGTTCCTCGCTGTCTCTCCCCGCTCAGGACATTCCAGAATTCCCTCATTCCCAGCCCCACATCCGGGGCCTTTCCCGCTGGCCCCGCCCCAGCGGCCTTTCCCGCCCCGGGCCGTGAGGGGAGGCGGGGCGGCCATGAAGTGTGTGATTGGGGGGGCGCAGCTCCGAGGTACCGGGGTGCGGGGAGCCCGGGACACGCAAATCCCTCGGGATTTGTGCGGGAAACAGGGAGCCCAGGGCGGGGCCGCGAGCGGGACCGGGCGCTGCCCTCAGGGGCGGCCCCGAGGGGGAGCGGGACACGAGCCCTGGAGCTGACGGGGGGATCCACCTCCTCCTCATCCCGCAGGACACGGGAGATCGTGGGGAATGTGCGGCCTCTGGGAATTGTTCAGATTAGGGAGCATAGCGCTGGATTTGGGGACTCCCAGGTGGAGAAGCCATGGCTTGGCCGAGTGTCTCCCTGTGCGCTTCCAGAGGCACAATCCACTCCTGGATATCGCCCTGTGCGCTTCCAGAAGCACCATCCACTCCTGGATATCTCCCTGTGGGCTTCCAGAGCCACAACCCGACTCCTTGGTGCAGCGTTCTGTGGAAAAGGCTGCTCTGCCCCTGCCAGAGGCAAATTCCAGGACCCTCTGCTGGGTTCTGCCCTGTTTCTCAGGGTTCCATCTCCGCAGATATCCCCCTGCTCACAGCTTCCCAAACTTTCCATCTACAAAATACAATTTCTAAGTGGTGTTTGGTCTGATTGAATGAGTTTGGGGTGACATCAGGCCCCAGGGGCTGCAAAGGGACAGATGACAATGAGGTGCCTCATCAGAGTCAGCTTCCAAAACGTCGAGGGTTTTGTGCCAATGAAAAAAGAAAAAAAAGTAACATTTTCCACTATCAGTTTTCTTTCAAATGTGTAGAAAATTTGTGATGTTGCCTCATAAATTATTCTGGGGAAAATGCAGTACAACCTTTTTATTTTAATTTAGGATGCCTATTGCACTGTTTTCTTTCCCTGGCAGTGTTTGGAAGAGCAATCCATGCCATAGCACGTATTAGTGATGAATTTTGGTTTGACCCCGTAGAAAAAGGTGTAAGTGAATTTGATTTATTCTAATTTAAAAATCTTCTTTGGAAGCCAAACGTTTATGTTGCTGGACATTGTGTTGTTTTCCTAGAGGGGCCCTTCAGCCCGAGTTACACTCTCTCCCAACTTCCTCCACTTTCAATATGGACAAAAGCCATATTTTCTGTGATTGTAATTATGCAGAATCCAGCATGGAATATTCCTTCCTACTCTGCCCTAATATCCTTTGATTTTTTGTGATCCAAGCTGAGGCTTGTCCAGCACATCCAGATTATTGCCAAGGGGTTCATTTGTGCTGTCACAGGTCAAAAGGTTTGTGTTCTTTACCACACAGAAGCTGCCTCTAAACAACATGTTTTGTACTGTTGTGACTCAACAGGAAGAACACATCCATTAATGCCTTTGATTAACCAAACACAATTTCCAGCAGAATTACAGTTTTCTCTAGAGGTTTCTTAGTTAAAAGTGACCAACTCTCCTTTAACTCACTGGAAAACCACAAGTGGAGATAATTCCATTTTATACCTGTGGTATTGAATGAGTGTTTCACATTCCATATCATATCAAGAATTCCTGAGGTGTGAGAAGTATCTTTGCTCATTTGTATGGATCATGCACAGTAAGATTGTTTTAGAATAAACTCAGCTCCTTCAAATGCCTCAAACACAAGCTGAGCTCTGGGTGTTTGGGTAACTCACCCTTCAGGGCCACTTAAACACCCACAGATTGGAATCCCATCCCTGTATTATACCACTGACTTCTGGCTGATAATAATGAAGGTGGGAAGTTTGAACGTAATTGTGTTCCTAATAAATCTGTATTTATTTTGAGATGCACATCTCAGGGTTTTCTGGTGGTTCTAAAGCCCAGAGGAGGCTTTTTTTTTTTTAAGGTTCAATATTAAATAGTTTTGAGTTAATACAACCAAAGGTTGGATTTGATAATCTTGGAGGTCTTTTCCAACTTTAATGATTCTGTGATTCCATTTCCAGCTTGCCCTAAGATCAGTGAATTCCTCGAGGTCAGCATATGCCTATGTCTTCTTCTCATCCATGTTTTTCCAACATTACTGCTGGACAGCTGTGTCTGATCCCTGTCACAAGGAGAAGCAGTTATCCCTCCCGTGTAAACTGATAGTTAAGGTACATCTCAATGGCTTGTTACACACAGCTTTGGAAGCAGCAAATTAACCCCATTTCCAGGTGGAATTCCAGGGGGAGGAGCAGGAGCTCCAGATAAAACCCTACAAAAATAGGGAAATCATACTGCAAAGTTGCTTGGTGAGTAACCTCTGCACTGATTGATTTTATTTTTATTTTTCCCAGGCAGTACTCCCTGTATTTAGATGTGCAAATGTGCTGGGAAGGAATGTAGAGAAGTGCAGCATCTCTACCAGCCCCAGTGATCATCACATCACCTTTCAGCTCCTCTGCAAACACGGTGGGTGACACAGGGAGCAGCTTCACGGGGACAGGAGCAGTTTAAAACCAAAGGGCAGCACAATATTTAATGTAGTTATTAACTGAACATTTTGGCAAACACTTCCAGCCTCTTCACATCATAATTTATGTTCATCATGTTAATATTTATCATGTATAACTTTTAAAGTGAAGTTATAACAGGCTTTATCTTCAGCTGACAACATTTTGAATCAGTCTGCATTAAATTCTGAGGGAAAAAAAAAGCACATTATGGGAAGGGAGAGAAATCCTGGTCTGGCAGCTGTTTGAACTACAGGATTTACTGGGTCTTTCCACTTCTAATGCACTTCTCCAGCACAGGAGCAGGACTTGGAATGTTCATCAGCATCAGCCTTTGCAAAACTCACAAAGAAGCCTCATCTACCAACACAGAGCTGTGCTGTGTCACAGGCAGTGCTTTATATTATTAAAAATCTATCTTGTATTACTGATAATGGGGTAATATATTGAATTAGGTCCCCAGACAACTCGGCTCTCTTTAGCCCAGGCTTACCCACAAACACAGAGGTCTGTAGGGTTTGCCTTTTGTATTTCAGTCCCACTTGTATTATTTTACCAGTTAAATATTGAGGCCTTTTTTTTCCTCTGCATTTGTTGCACTTTTTGCTGTTCATTTATTGCTTGTGGAGTCTTAAAAAACTCAGATGCTGGATGGGCACAACTTACAGGATGGAGGAAATCTTGGATGGCAGGTGAATTCCATTTTCTATTTATTTCCACATAGCTGAGTAAGTCCCTTGGTTACTTTCTCTATTGAACAATTAATACTTTAAAAAAAAATTAAGATTACAGACCAGCATTGATTTGTGTTCATTTCCTCTATATTTAGGTGTTGTAAAAACATATAACCTGACATTTCAGGAATGTGATCCTTTGCAGGCTGTTTTTGCAAAGCACATGTGTCCAAACATCCTTAAAGTCCACTCCAGGTAACAAATACAAAACCATTCTCTGAGTTTTACTTTCTGATGGGAGTAACAAATGCCAACCAGTCACTTGTGACAGATTATTTCAATGCTGAGTGACATTTTACAGGCTGCTGGCTGATGTGATGATTCACTTCCCAACCAGCCAAGAAGAAATAACCTTATCAGTTACTCCAGTGAAAGTTTGTTTCAAGAGTTACACTGAGGAAGACACTGGTAAGGAAATTCAGAATATATGAACCAATACTTGGACTTTTAGCACAGGTGAACTCAAGGAATAATAGCTGTCATAAGTGGGGAATGCATTTTATGGCTCAATGACACTTTTAAGAGAGGGAACATATATAAAGAGATTTTAAGTCATGCTGCCACCCTCTGGTTTTAATATATTTTAAGAAAGCAAGTTTTTAATAACATTTTCTGGCTGTCAGTGGCAGATATCAGATTGAGCAGCCAATTGAAATAAATTATGCCACTTGCTGTAGGCTTGAAAGAGGTAATTACTGTGCTGCAAGAGCAGGAGCATGGCAACTGCCAGGGAACAGGGGCTGATTTGGGGTTTTAAAAAGAACTGTTTAAATCTGAACACCACAATTAGAGAATTGATATCATTAGAGGGTGTATTTTAGGCTGAGGACAGTACAGGGTGTCAGCTGGGCTCACACTGTCACTGCCATGGTCACATCTCCAGGAGGTGGAGAACAAATCTGCAGATTCCTGGAGTGTGACTCAAACTAATTTTAAAGATATAATCGTGGTTTTGAAGTAGAGGTACTTGGATATCATATAATAAAGGGGTGCTTTTCATACTTGTTATGACCAAAGCTGAGGACAATGACCTAGGAATAGTCTGGGAATAGTCTGGGAATAGTCTGGGAATAGTCTGTAACACTCCCTTAGCAGCCTTGCCTTCCCTGGGGGTGTTTGTGCTGCTTGAGCCACTCTGGAATTTTTCTGAGTGTCTCAGACTGTTCCACATCAGGAAAGCACCTCTCACGTTCTCTTCACACACCAATTAACAGCCCCGGCCTAATCAGCTGGTGATGAACAACTGAATACCTGGAACTGAAGAGCCAATTTCCTGTTGCCACTCACATGCCAGGAAAAGATGGGAATTAAAAACAAAGAGCCTCAGTCCAGCCCTCTGTGCTCTGATGATTGTCAGCGAGTTTGGTTAATCAGTTTAAGTCAGGCAGCATTTTGGGCTTCCCATCCCTGCAACAACAGGCAGCTGGGAATATTATTTGTGAGGGATGCCTGTGGATGGAGCAGATAGACAAGAACAGCAGCAGGTACAGGGTTAGATCACACAATCAGGACATGGAATGGGGTCTGTTAAAATCCATTTAAATCTACAAAAAGTACTGTAAATAAATGGAGGATTTTCATTTTACTTAATTATGAAATAAATTTCGATAAGCTAAATGTTTATTACTGCTGATCACTATAAAAACACAATTATTCAAGCAATGCTGATGTAAAAACCTTGGGGCCATAAGCATAGTTTTGTTGAGTTCAAACTTCACTCCTGTGAGTCTTTGATTTTGTTTGATATCTCAAACAGACTTTTCCAGGACGATGGTTACTGAGATTCACCTCAGTCCAGAGGAATTTGACTACTTTCAAGTTGGAGTAGATTCTGAAGTGACATTTTGCCTTAAAGAGTTGAGGGTAAAGTAAGAATTTGTCTGGAAAATAAACCATTTCCCATTATTTTGCCTGACTGGACCAGGACACTGCAGGATGGTCCCATGGAATGTGTGTCCCACCAGCCCTCCTGACAGCAGCAGGATTTCACCAGCTGGTCAAGGATTAGCTTGAAAACCCAAGATCCTCAGGGCTCTGCAGAGCCCCTCAGAGCAGCCTTTGGAAGGCAAACAAAGCATTTCTAAACCCAAACTGTGGTTTCTGTGCTGGGCAGACCCAGCTGCCCTGGAGAGTTCTCCATGCAGAGCCTCCTCTGGCAAAGCTCTGGCAGGGAAGGCAAGAAATTATTCTGGAAGCAGCAGAATTTTACCCTCTTTTTTTGCCAGTAACCAAGAACTGGGATAAACTTACATGCTAATATTAATCTTGTGGGTTTAAACCAGCACTTAACCCCCCACTCCTTCTTTTCCAGGGCCTGCTGGTGTTCTCTGAAGCCACCGGTGTTCCCGTGTCCATCCACTTTGACAGATGTGGGAAGTAGGTGTTGGGACACACAGGGGTGGGAGCCCTGCAGTTACAGGAGGGTTGTGTCTGCAGTCCCTCAGGGAATATCACATTTTCATTCCATTCCAAAAGCCATTTCTGACCTGTGATCCCAGAGTAAGGAGTTTGTAATTCCACAGAGAGCATTTCACCCAGGCACTGCCAAGGCAGCCTTGCTGCTGGGTGTAAGTTCCCTGGACACTGGAGGCCCTCAGGTGAATGCCTGCAATGAGTTATTTAGCAGTTAAAGAAACATTTTCTGTATAATTTTAACAATTACACATTGAGAACTCTCATCTGGCTATAACACTGTGTAGCATTTGCTCCCTGGGGCATTAAACCTGTAATGGGAGGACACTTCTCCTTCCTCAGCAGCAAACATTGGAGATTTCCAGCTTTCCAGAGGAGGCATTTTTTAATCCTTATGTAGAATCACAGGAGCTGTCTCCTCACACAGTGTCTGTAATTCCATGTGCTGTGCAGTCTCCATGTTTGTGTTTAGGCCCATTGCTTTCAGCATTGAGGACGTGCTGCTGGAGGGCAGCTTGATCCTGGCCACCCTGTGTGAGGCTCAGAAGGAGGCAGATTCCCAGGAGCGCTGCTGCCCACAGCAGTGGGGCAGGTAAGAGGATGAAACCCTCAAGTTTTCACAGAGAAACTGTGAACCAGGTGGGTTTAGGAACATCTCAGCAGTGCACACAGCAATAAAGGGGTGCCACAGGGAGCATTCCATAGGAACTCTGCTTTCCTCATCTCCACAGGGTTTGGGTGCAGCAGGAGGGGTGGGAAGATACTTGCTGAGAATCTACTCTAAACCATAATCTTTCCATGAACAGAAAATCACGATATTCTGAGGAAAATGCACAAAGCCAGTTACTAACCCACCCTACTCTGCCCAATGCAGCTCAGAGACACATCCTGATAAACCCTCTGGGGATGAGCCCAACAGCACAGACATTTCCAAACATCCCCAGCGGGACGGGAACGCTCCCATCAGTCCTGTGGCTAAACGAGAGGTAAAAAGCATTCCCAGAGTCACGGGGAGGGATGTGACAGGAAGAGCAGGAACAGCCACGGCCGAGGCAGCAGGAGAGGCCACGGAGGCTCCTTATCAGAAGGTGAGGGGACTCCCCATCCCGTGAGCAGGGGAAGCACAGCTGGGGTTGAGCTGAGCACCCCGTGCACAGGGTGTGTCACACCACGTCCCACTCTGCATCTGCTTTCCCGTGGGAAACGCTGCAGACTGAAAGTGGCAAAAGCTTCACAAATAATTAACACCTGAATTCTGTATCACGTGGCTTCTTACCTGTGTAAATACCGCGTTTTCCAGTTCCACTCCTTGTTTTTTGGAGCTGTTTCCTACAAGAAGGATGCCACGGGTCACACCTTGCAGAGCTTGGCGACTGCCAGCGACACCGAGGAGGACCTGGGCCCCTTGCAGAGCTCCCCGGTGCTGTAGGGCACGAGGGCTTCGGGCCCAAGGACAGGCTGGGGCACTGCCTGGGAGGGAAGGGCAGCGCAGGCCCACAGTCGGTGCCTGCTGCTGTGACCCAGCAGCACAGACTGTTCCAGAACTGCTGCTGCTCTTGGACTGGCACAGATTTAGGTCACGACTGACTCAGCTGAGGTTTGTGTGTTACGAGTTCTGCAGGAACAGTCGGGGGGTTCTGCTCTCAGAACACTCTCAGTGGAGACTGAGAGAGTCCCACAGTTTGAATTCAAACCCTGTTACCACTTCAGGCAAATGAAGCTGCTGTTCTAGTTAAGGGTGCTGGAAAAATATCCCATCCATCCCCTCTGGCACAGCCAGACCCAGCCCAGCTCCAGGATAACTCAGGATTTTACAGAACGTCTGTAGAACCAGCACTTAACTGAACAACCCAAGTTGTCACAGAACCACAGTTTAAGAAATAAAGGTTTGTGTTTCAGACTTGAGTTATTCTTTTCCCTCCCCGCGTCTCTTCCACAAGTCAAGGGCAGTGCAGTATTTCCAAAGTCACACAACACCAAAATTCCCAGTCTTTGGTCAATTAAAGGATCAGTATCTTCCTGCCAGACTGTGGGGTGTCACTCAGGTGTGGATTTGAGGCACTGCAGGGGGGTGACAGTGACAACCCCCACCCAGCACTGGCTGTGCCTCTGCACCACCAACCACATCCCCACAGCAACACACAGAGGGTTTGCAGGCAACTTGACTTTAAAAAAAGCACATTTTAGTATAAATACTATATTTATTAAATATCTTTACAATTCATTTAAATGTATTTACAGAACTATTCCTGCATAAGTTATACCTCAGACATGAAATTCACATAATTGCCTCTTAGGTAAGCATAGATGATAGTCTCATTTTAACAGCAACAGAAAAGCATCCTCAGGTACAGACTCACATTTGCTTCATGGTTTCAGCCACCTTTGTCAGAACTGCATACAGTGGATTCCACACACACCAGCTGATTCCCCCAGGAGAAAGGATGTCCCTTCCCAAGACATGGAGATTCCATCACTAAATCCTCCCACCTTTGCCAGACCTTCTCCTCTCCCTTCTCCTCCACTCACTCGTAACTGTCTGGTCCCAAATCTGCTTTTTGGTTTTGTTTTCAGCCTGACCTTCTCGAGAAACACAACAAAGGACATTTGGAGGGAACCTGTGTGTCACAACTCTCCCAGAGACAGCCAGGAAAGCAGCAGGAACCACAGAGCTTTTCAACTCACCACATCCTAGCCCTGCTTCACCCCAACCCCTCCTAATGCTGCTGGAGCAATCCCAGCTTCCTGGGGGACAAACTCCTGCTGACCCACCAGCTCCCCAGAAAGAACAACCCTCTGCAGCAGCTCCAAGCTCCGCTCGCTTCCAAGTCAGGGAACACCTTTCTTGTCCATTCCCCTCGGGAACATTCCCACTCACCTTCCCCTAGCAAGTGTTACTGCTTCATGCATTGCTGGGAATTACTTTGATAGGATGGGCCCTGTCGTTTCCTTCTCCCAAAATCTCTTGTGCGCAGACAGCGATAAGTTCGTAGGAAAAACTCAGGTTTGATATGTTCAGAGTGCACGTCTTAAAAAAAACCCAACACAATCAAGCATGTGATAAAAATATCAATTCTTTATAATACAGTATTGCTTTATAAACAGATGGAAAAGCTAAAAGCTTTACTGGTCTTTGGTGTGCCTGGTGAGGGAAAAACTCATGATTTGTAAATCAAAATCCAAATTTGTTCTTTATGAAAAAAAAACAAAACAAAACAAAACAAAAAAACAACAACTCATGGTGTGATATGAGGCAAAGGGCTCTGTGGGTACAGACAGGGAGCACAGCTTGGCCTCACAGGCAATTCCAGCCCCTGGTGCATCCCTCTGACCCGCACACGTCCCCAGGGAAAGTTCTGGAAAGCTGGGGGGAAAAACACCAGGGCTGGGGACTGTGCTGAGAGCAGGTCAGAGCAACAGCCCAGGGCTCCTGAAGGGAAGGTCAGGGGACACAAGAATTGATCAAATCTGCTCTAATCCAGAAGCTGAGGGGAAATACTGGCGGACAAAATGTGAAGACACCCAGATTTGGGAGGGCAAGGCCCCCCCGAGGCGAGGAACAAAGCCCTGTGCTCAGTGAATACATTCCTCGAACAGCCAGCCAGGCACAGCTGGGCCAGTTCAAAACAAGGACTGACAGGTTGTGCAAAGTTCTCCACCACTCACTGCTCATGTGTCACAAAACTAATTAATTTCTCTTCATTAACAGAATCCTCCCCATACCCTCACCAAAATCCCATTTTGGTCAAGTTAGGGTAGTTAAGGCATTTTGACAAGTAATTACAAGGTGATTCAAAGTAGATCCCTAACATTATGCCAATTGAGGAATAGCAGATAAATTACTGAAGAGCTCCCAAATTAATCACTTATTATAAATGAAATGCCTGTTACAAGCATGATGCATTGAAATATAGTAAAATGACATGTACATGGTACATGTTAAATGACCTTAAATAAAAGCTTGACATAGTTACGCAAATATACAGTACAAGTCCACAAAAATTCTTTAAACAAGTTGAGGTAACCTCAAACTTAAACAGTTTTAATACAATAAACCAGGTAGTAAAAATCTCCTCTTGAGAGCAGGAAAGATTCCTTACTGACCAAGTTTAACTGCACTCACCTAAACAGCAACATTACCCGACTTTTTATATATAAAAACATGGCTTTAATTTATTTCTACATACTTTTCTACCGGCAAAAAAGTTAATGAAAAACTGACCAAAAATATATATATCTTTACAGCTCTCAGCTTTTGTATGAGCCTCAGGAAAGGAAAAGGAAAAGCTGGCTGGAAGGGGGGGGGGGGAACAAACGTGAGCTACTGTCATTGAAAACGAAATGTCGTATTGCAAAGTGGCTGTTAGATAACTGTAAACATCATTAAGGTTCATTGAAACCCCTAAACTTTAGTTACTGAAATGTAAGTTTTGCTGATTATTCATTAAGTTTCATTTTCGTACTCGCTGCCGCAGCAGAAGCAAAGAGGTGCCTGTTGAGTCAGAAAGGATGAGCTGGACTTTAAGTGGTGCAGCATATTCTGTTCTACAAGCAATGGCGATTATTAACACAAATTAGGCTTCATCAACGACAGGATTATCCACCCAAAGTGAGGACGTTGGGAGTTGAGGACGAGCTGTTCCTTGTGCAACCTCCCACCGGAGCATTTCCCACCAGGAGATGGGTTCAAATGCTCAAAGACCTCAGCTGTGGCCAGCTCGGCTGTTTGACACTGAGCTAGAAGTCTTGTTTAATAAAAATAATAATTATCCACAGCCAAAACATCCAGAACCAGGCCCATTATGGACGAATGATCTGCAGAACTTTTTTTAAGATCACAGTTAAGCACCTGAAATCACAAAACACATTTGCATCCATATAACTTGAACTAGGTTTGTTTGAAATCTCGTACTAGAAAAGGTTCCTAAGGCTGACACCATGGATGGCAAGAGCAGAATGTTTACAGCAGTTATAAATCTCCTGAAAACTGGAGCTCAGGAACACGAAACCTCGGCTACCACTGGAACAAGACTATGCTTTATGGAACTGGGGCTGTAACACACCCTCAACAACAGCGAACGTTCCTAGGAAAGAGTAAGATGCCCTCGTGCAGAGGGGTTACCTATTGATCTACTCTGAAAGATGATCAACCAATTCTACTCCTTGGAAAGTCCCATCTCCAGTGCGGGAACGCCGTGGGATGGATCCTGCCCCTGGCACGGACAATGACTAAGCTCTGACAGACGCTCCAGGCCTTGAGCTTCTTCATCTCTTGCTGGCAGAGCAAGCCCAGTGTTCTACGAGTGGTTCTTAGCAAGGACTCGGCTGTCTCAGGACGGGCGCCGGGCTCAGGGCCAGCTGCCCAGGGCAGGAGGGAGGAGGGATCAATCCTGCCAGCAGGAAACCGTGCGGGGCTCTGGGAGCGGGCAGCGGGCCCTCAGTCTGTGTACTCGGCCACGATGGACAGGAGGACGGTGATGTCGTCTGGTTTGCCCCCTGCAGTGAAGGAAAACATCACTTATTTCATCAAACTCGTCGTCTTCGCATCATCTGCGTCATTTCCCGTGGAAAATTCTTTTAAAATGAAATATTCAAAGCCTGTTCAGTGTAGACACCAACTCTGCTTCCTCCATCTCCTTTCCAAACCAGGGGAGCAGTGACATCTAACACAGCACAAAAACACTCTCCTGTTCAGCTCCGGTGAGATCAGGCTGAGAAAAGGAGGTCAGAACCTTGAACACTGGCAGCTGGCAGAGCACAGAGCCTGTTTTCTAGCAGACTACTGAATAAATGCACAAAACACCTGACACTGCTCTGTTACAAGGAAACTGCCATGAAGTCAGATCTCCTCAGGAATTTCCACTGTAAATCAAACACCACTTTAGCATCTTCTCCAACACTGTATTACCTCATGTGTTTCTAAAAGCTACTTAGCATTTTTAGTAGCTACTTTTCAATCCTCAGCATCCAGAGCAACACACTCAAATCCCAGAGAAAGGGCTCAGGAGAGATATTTTGTTATTGGGAGTCACACCAGAGAATCCAGAGATCTGCAGTTCCACTTCTCAAGCTCTACCTTAGGAAAGGGGCAGGAAATCCTGCCCTCCTGATAGAGAGATAAGAACATCTTTACCAGCAGAATTATATTGAGTTATTTAAAAGAAAAAAAAACAATAAAAGAAAGGTGTTTGGTCAGGCTCTGAGCTCTGCCAGGTGTCAGTATCTTTTAGAGCCCAGAAGCAGAACCAATGGAGAGATCAGGATGGGGATGCCAATGGTAAAAGTCACAAATTTCAACCAAAAAACAAACCCAAAAACTACCGAAGATTGGGCAGAACCTCAGCTGAAATGCAGCTGTAAGAAAACACTTTAAAAAATAAAAAAATTCAACAAAAGCCATCCTCGCACATCACCACCCACACATCCAAATCCAAGAACAAATCAAGCACAGTT